TTTATGAACTGAAAAAGGCTTAGAAGCTGCATCAAATAAATATGCAGAGCTATAGCAGAGTTTGGAATTCTTTAGAAAGCCAGAGCTTTGAATCTCAGGATATCTAACACAACCTCACCTCAATGGTCCAAGAAGCAACAGAGGTAAACTCCATCAGAAAACCAGAAGAAAGAGCTACTGAGTTGGCTGAATCAGAATTGTTGGGGTTTACTTTGAGCTCTGTCCTCACCTCTTTCTTTGACCTTGGCCATGTCACTACTGCTCATCTTCTGCACCACTTTGTGGAGCACAAACATGGTGACTTTTATGAAGCACTTTGCTAACTGGCACGAGCACCCTCAGCAAAATCTTTCAATGTAGTGCAAATAACAAACGTATTTTGCTGAGCCAATCAAAAAAAAAAGCAAATATGCTCTTGCTAGTTCTCTGCAGCATTAGTTAACTGGCATTATTCCTATAGCAATCCTGGTGTATCTAACACTGAGAGACAAATAGAAACAAACAGGACAAGCTTAATTATTTACAATATTTCACTAAAACCAGCAGGACTGCCCTTTTTTGATCCTAAGTACTATACGCCAATCACCTTCCTCTGGCCAGAAATGAGACTCAAATCACAGATAAGAAAAAAGGAAACTCTAAGAGCTGTACTAAACAGTGATGTTGAATTCAGTGGGCACTCCTACTCACATTTTTTCTATAGCTCTATATTTTTATATTTTTTTTTTTCTATAGCATTCAGATTATTTAGGGGCCTTCATATTGCAAGAGGCCTATTAGCAAATCTGTAACGTACACTCATCAGAGCACCAACATGCAGCAGAGGGAAATGTTACCAGTATCACCAGACAAAGGAAAGAGAAAGAAGCCAGGGAGGATTCTGTCAGATTAGTAACATTAATTTTCACATTGAATAAATTAAATCTCTTGAATCAAATGCCAAAAAAAAAAAAAAAAATAGATAAATAGTTGTGTCCTCACAGAGCAAAACAAACAAATAAATAGCCTTCCTGGATTATCTTCTTTCTCTTGTGTAGTTACATGACTGACTTGTGAGTTGGTAACACCACTGGAACATTCACCCACCAGACTCGCTGCCAACTGAAATGCCGCAAAAGAATTTCAGGGTGTCTAAAAATAAAGCAGAGGTGTTAAATTTGTTCTGCAAAGACCCTGATGTGCTCGCTTCCTGCCAGCATCCCCAAAGCAGTGACACCAGCAGCCCTCAGAACCTCCATGACTTTCAGTAAAAATCTGCCTCAAACAAACACGGTATTTAAAATGTACAGGGCACCCTAGATGTGCTAGCATTAAACATGTAGTTGTGATAATAAAAACAATTAGGACAAATGATGAAACAGAAAAAATGTCCAACTTTTTGGTTAAAAGAAGGAAAGCAGACAATTGGTTTGGAGAGTGCTTTTTGATGAGGAGAATATGAAGAAACAGACACTCCTAAGAACTGTCAAGTAATCCCTGAATTTCAGTACCTACACAAGATGAAGTTCCCTACCAAAGCAAAACCTTGCAGTCTTTACTATGCCATCACAAATGTTGAGAACTATTCTGAGCATTGTTTTGGTACCTACTACTTGAGACCACAATGCTGCAATAGTTTAGATTAAAAAGGATTTATTTTTTCCAAATCCTTATACATACATAATAGGGTCATCTCTCAGACTTGTATTAAGGTGCCCACCTGACTCATTTTATTGTTCAAAATGTAACATGACCTTCTTAAAAAGTTCATAATGAAACACTGTCCTTATGCATTCTGTATCTGCCTAAATATAGGCAGACACCTGAAAGCAAGGCGTTCTCTGATTTTCTTCTAGTAAAAAATCTGATTTAAAACAAGGCAACTCTGTTCTTTCCCCCTCTCCCATCTTGTTCTCTGACTTCCAAACTAACTCATCCTGCTGCTTCAGATGGAGAGTGCAGGTCCCAGCTGGTGCTCGAAGGCAAGATGAGATGTATGAGAATCACTGTCACTAAATATAGGCAGTACCAGTCAGTAGATCAATACAGCTGATGCTCCCATGACAGCTCTACAGTACTTGCAGATGTTTAGTGCACTAGTAAAAAAGTGCAAGAATATTCTCCCAAGTTCTTGCAAGCAGAAGCTGTTCCTCCTGCAGAGACACATCACTGCCTATCAGTTGGTGGGTGACAACTTGTGCAAAGAAAATGCTACAAGCTTGTAACAGGTACAGGCACAAACAACAATAACCTGATCTCAATTATCCACCACCACTGAGAAAAGTAAGTACATCAGAAAAACATAGAAAACACAAGTCTTATATAAATCAGGATGCAACAACATACACAGTCCACCTGAAAACAGAGCAGTGATATTTCCAAGATGCTTATTACATATAACGGGACAGGGATTTCAGCAGTGCAGTGACAGAGTGTTCAGGAAAGGTATGACTTGGGCAGTGCAAAGCTGTTTATACCACAGGTAACCAGAAGTTAAGCCTACCAGCATGTATAGGTAACACACACTTCTGGGAAAAAAAAAAAAAAAAAAACCAGAACAAAACAAAACCAAAAATGTTTGACCAACAGTTTCCCCTCTGCCCCAAACTCCATAAGCTAGCATTTAAGATACTTGCTTTACAGATATACCCAGAAAAGAACATCTCTTCAAGTGTTTAAAATAGTATACATTTTTTAAAATTACTGTTCTACCTCACAGCACAGAATGAAGAACTCTGTATTGCCAAATTAAACAGCTGTCATTCATGTCAAGCCCATACCTGAGGTTACTAATTCATTTTATTTCAAAACAGTTACAAAACAAATAATCTTCCTTAAAATATCTGACGTCCTTCCTTCCAGCACCAGCTCCTACCTTTATTTAGTTTCTCAGATGTCATACTGCTTTCTGCAGACTTAGCTGGGCTAGAAGCTTCCTATACCCACCATTTCTGTAGTAGATCTGATGGTACCTTTGTTCAAGACCGCCACACAAATTCTCTACCTCTCCCCTCCAAACACAGGACATCTTTGAACCCTTCCATAGGCATTCTCACACAACCTTCCTCTTCCTTTACTATTTCTTCCTCCCAAATGAGGAAAATTCAAGTAATACATATAGCAAACCCCTCAACTTCACCTTGACAATTCATGGCACAGCACAATTATGTGCTGCTCACTCACTGTGACAGGAGATGTCTACTTTTGCTGCTGACAGTACAGATGTTTTCTAGCACCCATATCTGTGTTTGGTTGGCGACACTGTGCACTGGTGTCCCTCTTGTTTGGCTGGCTCTTTGCTTGATACATTTCCCTGTTACACTGAGCAGCCTCTAGTCTGAATAAAACACTGAAGTATCAGGGGCTAACAGCTTTTTATTTTAGAAATAGCTTCCATTCTAAACCTCAGAAACGTTCAGATAGCATTAACCAATAAGTCCTAATAGCCTGTTAGCAAAATAAGCAACTAAGTATTTTCTGGGGTAAGGAGGAAAGGCCCCACACCTAGAGGCAACTCTTCCTTCTTCATAGATGCAGTCAGTCATCCATTAACTAAGCCAATCAATCCTTCATTTCACAGCATTTATTATTATGCCATCCCTAAGGGAAGGGTCGACATATTAGGAAATCTTTACAGACATGAAGATTGCCTTACTCTAACAGAAAGGGAAATTTTAATAGTGTAAGAATAATACCATACAAACTAATTTGAAAGCTCTCATAGTTCCCATTTTCAAACTCACTGACAACAGTTAATATTAACACTTTTTTTCTTCCTTCACAACAAACTATGTAAATTCACTGCCACATGATTTGAGGCCAAGAACCAGAGGAAAATACTGCAAGGCTTGGAAGTTTACAGCATTGTAATGGTTAATGTTAGCTTCAGTGAATCTGTTTAAGATATTAAAATTCCCATCTGTCAGACCTCTTTGCTAGGTTCTACTGCCCTCAAAGCAAAAGAGAACATGTGCTGTATCCCAGCCACCCAGTTCAGAGCACTTCTTACTAACTCAAGCCACAGATGAAAATGAATTTCCAATAACACACTTAAACCACTGCAGCCAACATGCAGGTACATGTCTGCTCCTGCCACCTAGACACAGACAAGCAGAAAGAAAGGCTGAAGAGCTGCATGCAGGCATCAGGAAAGGAGATGATGATCTATAAACCACTGGAGCCGTCCGCTCCCACACTCAGGAGTCATGTTCTATGCATGCGTTTGACTTCAAGGCAATTTTAAGTTTAGGAAAAACAGACACACTACAAAACTAACACTCAAGAGGCAGAGTAATGTTGTTAGTATTATAAGAGTAGCTATTCACCATGATTTCCAGAATCATAACTACCACAGTTCAGTCCTCATGCTCTAATGGGTCAGCTGCATCCCATGTTAAGCACCACAAACATCAGCTGAAGTCCCAGATGTACAAGAGCACACACTGGGACATATCATTTACCTGAGTTAATGTTTCTGTCAACACCAGCTCTATGAGGGATAGAGAGAAAATCCAGTTCAGCAGGGATGAGTTCAACCTCCCCTAAGGAAAACAGGCTTGTGTCTCATCTACACACCAAAACCTAACAAGTAAAATGAAAGCTTCGGAGCATTTAGCTTTCCAAAGGAGCATTTATCCTTCCAAAAAGTGGAAGCAGAATACACACTAAGTTCAACAAGACTTTCCAACAAACAGGAGTCTGCTGAATAAAACTGACACACTTTATGTGTATGTGTATATATATATATATATATATATGAACTACTAGAGAAGTACACTCCAATTACAGTTGCTTTTGCATCCAATCATTTAAGTTGCTTCTACAAAGTGAAAGCATTTACATATTTCCTGTGGTCTGTAGCACCATAATGTAGAAAAATAAACCCTTCTTGGATTGAATTAGAGATTACAGTGGTTCACAAGAAAGGATAGCTAAACTAACGTTACTCCCCTCTTTCCTTGGTAGGATTTCTTTCCAAAACCATACCCCAGCACCCTGTCTGTTCACTGTTTAGCACTTACTGTTGCTGGACTTCAGGTCGCGGTGAATGATGGGGACAATTGCCTCCTCGTGCAGGTAGTTCATTCCCCTGGCAATCTGCACTGCCCAGTTCACCAGGATGTCAGGAGGTATCCTTTTACCAGACAGCACTCTATTCAGCGATCCTCCGCGGGCAAACTCCATGATCAAGCAGAGATTAGGTTCCTTCAAACACACGCCCCTGAGGGCAATGATGTTCGGGTGCTTTAACATGGCAAAGAGCTTGGCCTCCTGGCGGACATTCTCAATGGTCTGGCTGATGTCCTCATCAGGGTCATAGCGAGCTGCCTTGACAGCAACCTCATCTCCTACCCATACAGCCCGGTACACTTTTCCAAAGCCTCCTATGCCAATGATTTCCTCCAGAACAAGTTCTGAGAAGTCGATCTCCAGGACTAGGGGGAAAAAAAAAGTAAACATTTAGCAGCTCCGCAGCCTGTACGTCAGCTGCAGGTCCACACCACCCAGCCTCACCCCTACCCTTGGAGGAAGGACCAATTTTCACTCCAAAACAGTACTGATGAAAGCAGCAGTCCCTTCTGACAATCCTTCACTGCCAAATAGTGTAGCAAAAAAGACCTTGCAGTATCATAAATCCTGTATTAAGCACGCACTCTGAATGGTGATTGAATTTGACCAATGGTGGTGAATGTCACACTTAATGAAACAGCCCCCTCAAAACACACCAAACCCTTACAGCACTGACACTCCCTGAAGGATAAACCCTCATTTCCTTCCCTCAATGACAGTATGAGATTCCAAAAATGAAAAATACGCCCACAGGCAAATCTTCACCGACTTAACTACATAGTGCTTAGTGTGACAGAGCTAAAATCCAGCACAAAACACATCTTATTTCAATGTCTCTTATTCAGCCACCACTAAACAATCTTCTAGTCCTTCCCAAATCATGCCTACTCTTCTGCACCTCTACAAGCTTTGCAGATTCATTCTCCACAATAGATCTGTTAACCAATTCTGATACTACTGACAAAGGTATGACAAACAGATGGATCAGAACACATACAGAGCATACAAAGCTAGCAATAAGAAAAACTTTTTTTGATTAATGCATGCATTTTTATTACAGAAACGACCTGAAATAACAGAGTCCTCATCTCCCTTCCCATGCACTCACAGCTACACTTTACAGGCTGCCACAGTATCTAGTGGCTACTTGGTGTTGCACAGTAAAAACCTAAAGATGCAGATCATAGAATCATTTAGGTTGGAAAAGACCTCCATCAAGTCCAACTGTCAACCCAGCACTACCACGACCACTAAACCACATCCTGATGTCTTAATTCAGCACATAAATTGCATCTGGAGCAAAAGTGCTGAGAAAATGTATCCTGTACAACTGTTCACTAAACATAGTTTATGCTTACAGATGGCCAAAAGAGCTCATCCAATACTGACTAGTATAAGGTGAAAAGCCACATCCTGACCAATGAAAACATGCTGACATGGCTGAATTTACAGTAGTGCTAGGCCTCTGGTGAGACACCACTGATGCTGCTCTGTCTGCTATTTTGGTGGTTACCAATTGTACTCAAAGAGATTTTTAAAATTTTCAAAGGAAAAATACTACAATGCAAGAATTTAAGTAGAAATACGCCAAGACTTTTAATACTTTTCTGCATTTGAAATGCCAGATCTGACATGATTCCCCTGCTTTGTCTAGCAGAAAGGAAGTTCAGTCTCTAACAGAGCTACCTGATATAGGTAATTCACTCAGAGCAGTGTATTATATTACTGGGGCTTATAATTATCAACTGTATACATTAAATTCTTCACTGTTTTTAAAAGAAATTACATAACCATAGAAGGCAAGGGAGCAGGTCAGATTTCTCTGAAGTAAAATATTTCACATATTCCAAACAAATGTCTTTCCTAAGTATAAGCCTATAATACAAGATGTCACAGAACTCTACTGTGTTAATATGAACTTTCCTCTCCACAGCTGCAGACTTGGTTTTGGGGTTTTTTTACTAAGTTCCATCTTCCCTGAACATGATTTTTAAGTCTGGCTTACTTTTCTAAGTCGGTCAAATCTGTGAGCTAAGAGTTGACTACATACAGGGATTATATCATCAACCTTCCTACACAGCACAGCCAATACATCCGGATCCTCAGCCAGTGTAGTAAGAACGCCTGTGCTCTTCTTCCTAGTGCTCCACAACCAAAAGACACCAAGCCCTGTCACCTTCAGCCAGCAGCCTTCCAGCACTGGTAGAATGCTCCCTCAGTCCTTCCCTCGGGACACGGGCAATGAAAAGCCCGAAACACTCACGTAAGCCTCAAGGCCAGATCGCCAGACCGAGCCCTGCCACGCGGCGCCAGCAGCCAGGGCTTTGCCAGGGCCACCGCGGGGCGGCGGGAGGCGAGGCACGGGGCACG